TGAAACATAAAAGAAAAAACTGCGTTTAAAAAAACCAACTTCAAAAACAAAAACTTTATTTTACTTTATACTTTTTAGTTTAGTATTAGAATATTTTATATTATGTATAATCCACATTGGTGCAAAGTTTTCATCAATACATATTATTCAAGCTCAAACACCAGGTAGCTACTGTTAACCATTGTTCTCTTAGCTATCATACTACTTCATCATTGGACATATTTTAGTGACAACCACGCCACACCTAGGTGTAAAGTTCTCGTCAGTACAAATTAATCAAACCCAGACACAAGATAGCTACTGGTAATCGCTGAGGAGTTCCCTCAACTATGGTACTACTTCATCATCAGACCTTTATTGGCAATCACATACCACCTAGATATAAAGTCCTCATCAATACAAATTAATCAAACCCAAACACAATGTAGCTACTGTTAACCGTTGAGGAGTTCCCTCAACTATGGTAGTACTTCATCATCAGACCCTTATTGGCAATCACATACCACCTAGGTATAAAGTCCTCATCAATACAAATTAATCAAACCCAAACACAATGTAGCTACTGTTAACCATTGAGGTGTTTCCTCAACTGCCTATCGGCTCGATCATCAGATTAGCTCCAGACCTTTATCAGATTGTAGTGTATTAACAAATGCACTAGTCGCCCCTATAATTTTTAAAAGTTCCCCTCCCCCTTTGGGATTCCATCATCAGATCCTGACTTCATGACAATGGGACCAAATGACAAACCTACCCTTTGAAACAAAAAATGAATTTTTGAAATCGGTCCAGGCGTCTTCGAGTAATCGAGTAACGAACATAAAAAAAATAAAAAATACAGTCGAATTGAGAACCTCCTCCTTTTTTTTGAAGCCGGTTGAAAACACAAACATACACGCAAACAAAAACTCACAAACTTTCACATGTATATTACTATTAGTAAGATTATTGCTAATAACATTTTGACCACAATCCAGACTTTCTAGAATCTAGAAGTCAACTAAACCAAATCATCCACATAGCTCCACAAGTCTACAATACCCAAACCCATGTTAGTATAAACTTGGATACTGTAGAACATAGATAAGTTACATAGTTATTTTGATGGTTTTGACAAGTATAACTGTGTGAATGCATATATTTTATTACTTCGAATATATTATTATGTTTTATCATCATACTATCCGATATTGAACTGTAAATCGCAGAAACACTAACGAAAATTTTAATTTCATGGCACTTTCACTGGCTCACTACATTTAACTTAAGATCATAATAGATATATCTATGATTGCCAAGTTCTAATCAATAAAAGTAAAACTCAAACAGCAGGTAACCACAGTGCACACTGCTTCATCCTTAGGTTCTTAATGATAATCAACCCCCCCCCCCCCAGGAGTCAATTTGTCATTAATACAAATTTAAGCCCAAACACAAGGTAGCTACTGTTAACCATTGCGGAACTCCTCTCCTACAAAGGGAACCCCTTAGCTTCTTCCTACTTCATCATCAGACCCCTAATGACAATCACACTTTATCTAAGTAAGTGTAAAGTTGTATCAATAACGTCAACCCATAAAAAAAAACACGAACTCATTGCTGTACCTAAATCCTCGAAGAGATCTCTTGACTGTATTTCGGTTCTATCATCAGATCGACTCCAGAACTATATCAAATGGTACTGGTTTAAAATTCATAATGAATAAATTAACAGCCCCTATAATTTTCAAAAGTTCCGCTCGGTTTCCAACCGGCCTCGGGAGTTGGATCAAGTCGGGAGTTTAACCGGCCTCTTCAACTAGTAGGTAGGTACATTTTAAAAAATTACATGTAAAAGTGTTGCCTTGTAATTTGTATTGTAACCTACTTCTTGCAGAAATAAATATAATTTATTATCATTAATCAGTGAAAATAATATAAAAATAAACAATCAGGTGAACATAGAACCTCCTCCTTTTTTGAAGTCGGTAAAAAAATCACACGTAAGCGTGTGATTTTTTTCGGTTAAGTTCGGTTCCAGAACGGAACCCCGTTCGGGCACCGAGGAACACCGAACCGCAGATACGACTCGCAGTCTGCTAAGTGCAGTGCACGTTGATGGGTTCTATATTAAATTCGCATTAAGTGTAAATAACTACCTACTACTTAATTACTTTTGTTAACTTTAGTGGGTAATTAAATTAAATATTCATTAATAAAACCTAGTTCGGAGGTAGGTGAAAAACTTTTTACAATTCGAAGTACGAAGGACGTATAAACAAAATATCATGATAAAGAAGCCTTCAGTAACAAAATATACTGTAATTGTTTTGAGACGAGCGTTGAAACCGGGTCAGTCATACAAAATTAGAGTTCATCCAAAGGATAAAAGGTTCGACGGCAAAGTTGTTTTGAAATATGTAAGTATCAATCAAACTTATAGTTATCGTGTTAATATTTTTGAAATACATCATTGTTTTGATTTTGCAAACGAAACTGCAAGCCACTCAATCCCTGTGATCGAGAGTCATCCTGGCTAACACATACTTAATCGAAGAGTTATTTTATAGATACACTTACAGTGAAGATGTTTATTTATCTATGAGACTATGTCTTAAACATAGTCAGAGTAATAATCGTCTGCACTCTTACAATCTAAGTTGTTTACAAATCGCATACACTGGATTCCTATTTTAATTTTTTTTTTTATTAACTACATAAGCTACATCGTAGGTGCATTCAGTTTATGGTTTAGATATTTTCTATCAACATCATTCCTGTAATAAGATAGTTGCTGCTGAGAAAAACCATTTTCTTACATTAATCACCACGCATTTAGGAAACAGCATAAATCACCACGCTTGCTCAAGTCCGAATGCAGATTTCAAACTTATTAGTTGAAATTGTAAGTCTATCTTTTCTAAACATGTTTACCTTCACCGTGGCTATGTGAATAGAGTCTAAATAAACTAAGAAAGTACATAATATTCTAACTCGCATACTACTCAGAAAACGTAAAGGTATTTACCTACATGCCGGATTTCGAAACCGCACCCTTTGACAAGTTTGACGTGTAGAATAGTCTAACAATTGAGTCTTACTATTTAGACTTACGTAGCGTAAATAGGTACTCACAATCTTTTCAGTACCTACCTAGTCTTATTTTAAATGGTTTTGGCGACCTTACTTTCACAAGTTCGCTGATTAATTACCTTACGCAATCCTTTCTTCCCATAGGAATAAGTATATTTCGTAAAAAAAATCGTACTTATATGTTATGTATGTATTTACCACTTTACAGGAAAATGAATGCTTCCAAGATGCTCTGAGATGTAGTCAAAAAAGATTGCTGAAAGTATCAAGAGACCGCACCTTTCTGCTGGACCGTTTATTGCAACATGAGAAGCCAGACAGCACCACATCTGAGAGTGAAGACACTGAGTCGTCAGATGACCCGGAGTATTATCGCAATGATGTCAAAAGGTACAGAAAATTAACAAAATAACTTTTATAGACATCATTTGCACTCTCCATTAATATGTACTTACTTACTAATTTTTCTTTTTTTCAATAATTTCAGAAAGAAAATGGAAGCTAGTGCAGCCAATCAGAACGTATCTACAAGCTCATCAGTCAAAGGGGCAAGTACAATAAAAAGGAAAAGGGCAACAGTGCCTAAGAAACCTCCTAATGCTAATCATCTTGTAAGTTCAGATTTAATAATATATTTCCCTTACTAGCTATTTACACGAAGCTTCACCCACTCTGCTTGGCGCCTATTGACCGTAGCGTGATTTTTATAGCCCGTACCCGACCTCGCTAAGTGGGCTATCCAAAACTAAAACAATTTTTCAAATCGAACCAGTAGTTTCTGAGATTGGCGCGATCAAACAAACAAACTCTAAAGTTTTATAAAATAGTACTATCTTCTTCCGCGCTGTTTCATCTGCTCTGCTCGGCTCATATTGGTTGTAGCGTGATGTTTTATAGCCTTCCTCGATAAATAGACTATCAAACACAAAAATATTTTTTCGAATCCGACCCGTAGATCCTGAGATTAGTGCGTTCCATGTATGCTTAGATCTGTAAAACATTATTAAGAAATTTATGTAAATACATATTACCTATAATAAAATAAAGAAGATATGTTAATGTTTAGTACGAAAAAAACATTTCTTATGTTATAATATAATAACTATTAATAGTAGTTTAGTTAGATTATATTTTGCTCCATATGTTGCTGTGCCCTAGCCGGGTTTCATGTTGAAACTGTACCTACCTCATGTAACACCAAGTCACCAACAATAATAATTGTACACATGATATGCAATAAAAAATTTTGAATTTTGAAATTTTGAAAAAACTACGCAACGGATTTTGATGCGATTTTTTTAATAGATAATTTGATTCTTAAGGAAGATTTATATGTATAATACATACATATTGCACCCGTGCGAAGCCGGGGCGGGTCGCCTGTAATAGTATAAGATTAGATTTTCTGTAATAATATGATTTATCACTTTTGATAGCAACCCATTAGTATCTAGCATTCATTTGATTTATATAAATTTCTTTCAGCATCAGTCTACAAGTTCTATGCTGTCTAAAGTTTCTCCGGCTTTGGGTTTCGGCCTATCGGCTGGTGATGGCCACATGACTCCCGAAGAAGTGGAGCGACACTTACAATCTCGGCAGACGTACATGGAACTGTTACCAGAGCGGGCTCCACCCACGGTTCCAACAGAAATGTTCAGTAACGACCCTTCACTTGACAGGTAATTTATTATTACATAGCATTGTTCTATTCTTAACGCTGTATCTACCTACATCTTCAAAATAGCCGGGAATAGGAGTAGTGATTTGTGCTAAATGTTTGCAAGTAGCAGTCAATAACATTAAATGTAAAATTTACTACATACTTCATGTATGTAATTAACTAATATTTAACATTCATATACCAAGTAATAATTAGGTATCTATGTTGTAAGTTTCTTAATTTTACACCTGCTAAGGATTAATTTTTTATTGTTTGTTTCAGTGAATCGAACGACGTTTTAGAGAATTCGCCGAATGTCGAGGAATGGTTCGATTAATACAAAAGTTTATGTAATTTTAAGTATTAAGTAGTTACATAAGTCCAGACATGATTATTTTTGACATTCAAAACTTTGAAATGTTTTCTAATTAATAAATAAAAATGCACAAATACGTATTGGATAAATATTTATTTAAGAGTTACAATAATGGGTTCGAAGCGCAAGAACAAACATCTATAATAACATCTGTTACAGAATCACACCCACTTTGTGATATATTACATTTGATAAACACACATATATACGAAGTGTACATGTATCAAATAAGCTTATACATTCTTTAAATTTCATAATATACATACAATGTTACGAGTACCACATTCTTAACAAGATTAATAAAAACGTTTATAATGATATATTAATTTATTATTAATGTTCTCTTAACAAACCTACCATGCAAAGAAATCTTAGCATGCTCACTACTAATAAATTTATAACAACATTTTATGTCCATAATACTAGTTCCTACCTCTAATCTCTATTTGTGGTACATAATATGAAAATAAAATCTTCTAGGTTTGTGAGATTCCTACTATCGACTTGAAAACATGTATACTCAAGAAACACACCAACACATTTAATTAAATCTCTAACAAACAAATACATGTAAGATGTCATGAGTATGAAGCTGATATACTAAATGTTTCATATTGTAACATTTGTTTTCACATGATGATGTTGATAGTTGGTACCATAAAATGACTGGGAGAATTATATATGCAGTCATGGAAAAATAACGACTCGTAAAATACTCGCAATTAAAAAATAATATAACGTAGACCTATGGTTATAGGAATGTTTGTGAAGTACATTTTAATATTTTAATTAAAATGTTCAAGAAGCACCAGTGTCAACATGACAACATTCATTGCAAATTTTCAAAATGCTAAAAGATGTTAAAATATCAGCTAGTGGATAAATAAATAATTGTCTTACCATCCAAGGTATTCTTTTGTACAAAAATGTAGACATGTAGTAACATACTGACATCAGGTAGATTTATTTATACTTTTTATGAATATAAAAAATACGAGAATCAAATATTACTTAGATATAGAGGAATACAAGAGATTTTTGAACCAAAGTGAATACTGTATATCAGCTTCCACTGGGTATGGTATTATTGCCATTTATATATTTTACTACAAGTTAACAGGAACATCATAATAATAAATAAAGTGGGCCTATTTTACAACAGCGATGAATATACAGGTAAAATAACGACGTAATAGTTTGATACGAGTTACATTACATAATTTCACATAGATAGAAATATTATACTCATCAGTACTGGAGTTCTTGCTTTAAATAAATCTAAACACGTGTTAATAATGTTAGCAAAGCTACTGTTGAGTATAATACAAAATGAACCAACAGAAATTTAGATACATGATTAACAACAGCCGAATAGTTACTTTGGTATGAATTTAGGTATAATTTTCTACAATATATCATAAATACTTTTGAATATATCTAGAAATATGCGAGACAACAGTATAATCTGTGACACTAAATAGCTACCTATTCATCGCCCGAACAAGACAAACTATCAACCATGAAGTCATTATGAATGAGAACCTCATTTATCCTCTATATATACATATCAAGCAGTATTGATACAGATGTACCTCACATTATCACATGAACATAATGAATAACTGGTTTTAAGCATGGTGCATACTACTGATCATGGTAAATGTTTACAGATGATAAACCATACATATTATTTTTATTATACTACTACTAATATCAAATTAGGTTTCATAGATGGAAGTGTACTGATTTACAAGACGCAAATCAGGTAAATCCTTAGCATACAATTATTACTGAATTTTATTATTGTAAATCTTGAAAGTAAGTATTCTTTGTCTTTTTGAACATCTTATCAAATCTTATAAATCGCAGTTTAAATTTTAACTAAAATAAATCTTGGTTTACAAAAACACCTAACTCTATATTAGCAATAAAATAAATCCAAAATTGTACACAAGAGATTTCATTTGATTATAGGTTCAGTGCAAAGTTCACAAGTGTTTTGCTTCATTTACCTTCCAAATTGTACGCATTACTTTATATCAACTCTATATGTAAAGTGACTGTGAACTTCTAGGTGACTATAACACCAACTTCATTGTCTAACAATGTTGTTCATAATTCATGGTTCCTTTAAACTAAATTCAGAATTGATCTGCTAACAGATTGCAAATTTCATGTGAGACTGTTTCCTTGCTAGATCTTACAGTCAGTCTAAACATTTGAGCTTGTTTGTTTGGTTCCAATCGCATGAGACAACCTACCTGCTGTACTCTAGTATGAACAATTCCTGCACAGACAAAATTATCAGGGTTAGGATCAATACCATCCAGCAGCTGCATACCAAACCCAGCTAATTTGGTGCGAGTTGCAGGTATGTCAATAGAACCTTGAGCCTTAAAAATCTTTTGTGCCCTTTGCTGTTCTCCTCCTAAATTTTTCCATCTTGCAAAAAATGATTCTCCATTCATTTCAGTGGGTTCAAAGAACTTGTTCAATGTAAGTGGTAATTTCATAGTAATCTTTTGTGGTACATTATTGTACACAAATGAAACAGACATACTTGGAGCATCAACAAAATCTTCAATACACTCAGCTGTCAGCATTTGTTGGATCTGTGCACCTGCTTCCAGTACAGGTTCCATAGGTTTCATTTGCACATTCAATTTATGCAAATCAGTCCAGTGTAGTTCAGGGCGAACAGTTTGGATGGGGAACTGAGTTTTGTTTCCATAGAATAAACCGATCCTTCCCAAATTCTGTCTGAATTCACTTTTTACTCCAATCTGAATAAGGTCATTTTCAAAGAGAACACCATTATTTTTGAACAAAAATTTCTTGATATTGTTTTGTTGAACTGTACTTGGACTGATTTTTGGAGCAGTATAGAGATCTCCAAGTACATCAAGCAAACCATTACCAGTTGCTGGTGCAGTAGTTCCAGGAGGAGTGGACAGTCCTAGCAAATCAGCACTAGAGCTATTTGTATTATTGGTAGAGTTAATCACAGCAGTAGGTGCTGCTGTGGGTTGAGGACTCTTTGACTCCCTCACATCATCTGGAATACGGCCAGGCTTCTTCTTCTTTAGAACAGCCAAGATTGAAGATTCTCTTTCTGGGAATGCAGGCATTTCTTCCAATACTGTAGCTAAAACATCAGAACTTGCGACAATGCTTAATTGTAGATATTCAGAGGCTCTTTGTTGTAATTCAACATCAGATGATCGTAAGTTGGAGTCAGCACGAAATACTTCTTGGACACGATTTTTTATTTCAGGGAAGAGATTCACAAGTTTGATGTAGGTAGATAACAAAAGGGCTCTTGTGGCAGCTGAACACAGATGGTATTTAGAATGAAGTAGCTCAAACTGAACCTGAGGTGAGGATCGTGTATCTCCAGCTATCAAATTTCCAAATTCTCCAAGAATGTAGCCACCCACTTTCACCATATTTTCATGACATGTTGGTGCTTGTAATGCCTCAAACACAGTTTTAGCAGCATAACCTTGGACTTCTTCTCTGTTGATTACAATCTGTATGACTCTGTACCAAACTTCTTCTGATACATAATCTCCAGCAATTCTTATAAGATTAAGAATCACATCCACATACCATGTGAAATCTGTAGCATATTTTTCAGCCAAAATAGCTACCTTTAGAACCATTTCTTCCCTTATAGAATAGTCAGCAGTTTCCAAGTAAGCTAACATCTCTTGAACAATTTCCTCAGCATTAGTTTTATCACACATGGCATACAACAAGTCTACAGCCTGTTGTCGGACTGATACATCTTTTTCCATCTTCATAGATAAAATGACAACTTCCTGATGTTTCTTGACAGCTTCATGGGAAAATTCTGATGTAGCTAGATGGCACATGGACTCCAGGGCAAGGTATCTTAAATTTGTCTCACGGTTACTAAGGAATTGGCCAAGCTGGTTACATGCCCGCACAAGTAAATTAGGTTCACTGTCATTATGTATAATAAGACTGATGGCCTCAAATAAGACTGCATTCTTAGCATTAGAATGTTGCACTTTTTTAGATTTAGGTGGTTCTTGAGCCTTATTGAAAATAGTTTCCAAACATTCCGATAAACGGCCCCTTACACCAGGCTCTTCAGATGGTGGAGTGTAGTTTTGCAGCAAACGTAGCAGTTTTACAGAAAGCCAGGGGGCGGGCACAAAATAATATGTGTAATCTTGCAAATCTGTGTAACTAGCAGTTACAATCCTACTCAGCCTAGCAACTGCCAGTGTTACGCAACCCTTATACTCTTCAGGATTCTTTTTAACAAGAGCATCAATAAGAGATGTTGCTGCTGTTACAACTCCCATGTGTGGATCATTTAACAGATGTATGATTCGAGAAGTCCACTCACCTCCTGGAATTATTTCAGGTGACTTCCTGAAGAGTCTCAACAGGCATAGAGCAGCAGATTGCTTCACCACATCCATAGTATCTCCTGAGACCAAAAGCTTGGGGATTTCGGTTCCAAATGCTTCAGCCATATCTTTGCTGCCAATGTTGGCAATGCATTGCAGAGCCAAGTTGACATGTATCGGATTACGTGATTGCAGATCATTTTTAATGCTCTGGATGATAAGCTTAATTAGATCACTGTTGGTATTAACCAACACAGATATGAACAAATACCCGATTTGTTTTTCAGAATACTTATTGGATGAAAGTAAGTTGACTGCTTCCATATGACCGAAGTCGATATCATGACCCAGCAAAAAGATAAATAAGAGTTTACACACGTATTTCTTTTTTTGATATCCATCAAGAGTTTTGTCACCTTTGAACTTACTTCTTATGTTGGCCAGCTCTTTATTGATCCTCTTAATTTCCGCTTCTTTGCTTTTACAATTTCGTATGTCTGATATGAAGACTGCGAGCCCTCGCATTCCATCTCCCCTGACGGCAGGCATATTGCCAAGTGACTTATCGAACACCAGTTTTATGCCTTTTCTTTACACTTTAAAACGAAATAATGTCTCCAAAATACTACCACTAACGTATAAGACGGAAAAATTGTAAATCGGCGTTGAATTACAACTAATCAATTAGCGGCCGTCATTACATTAATCGGAAAAGATGAGTTTCTTCTGATGGTTCTACAACGCCTTCCTTTTCCATAGATCCGTTTTTGAAACGTCAGACTGAGCTTATTGTTTATGGATCAATATTGTACGCCAATCAAGGGCTTCTTATACTTTTATGATCCTTATCCCCGTTACATAAGGTACAAATTCGGAAAGACTTCATTTTGACAGCTGAAATAAAGCCAGTGGAGCATTCAATAACTTTCGTTCGAAAATAGATATAATGAAGAATTAAAGAAAGAATGATTTCCGTACGTTTAAAAACAAATCTTATTAGAAAATTTGGACTAACAAATTTTACTACTACTGTACTAATCATTAAGTTACTGTGTGTAAAATGTAGTGAGTAAATAAATATTTGCAGGTATCATCCACATTACTCCACTGACAAATCTTGTAGGTACTTCACTAGTCTCGGTGTCTATTACAAAAGTACCTAGTCTATGGCCGAATGTCGAATTTGTCCAATGTTCGTCTTTCCATCAGTCACGAGACAAATGTAATAAAAATCGAAAATACATCTAAAGACTACGAAACTTCATTTTAAATTCGTATTATAGCTAAATATGACTTCTATGTGTTATTGTTCTGCAAAAATGTCTTCGTTAGTTTCATCTGATCTCTTGTGAAAGGCTGGTGTCAAAGTACGATTCAACTAATGAATGATGCAGTCTATTTTCTGGACAGGGAGACTGCTATCACGTGCTTTAAGAAATGGACTATCAAATTTCTCGAGTGCTGCTGAATTAAATGTTTCGACGACAAAACACCCATATTTAGTTTCAGTAGTGTGTGGTTTTCCAAAAGACATTGCTAATGGAAGAACTCGCAAAGGACAATTCGGTGACGACGCATGGTTCTCCACCAATTCCAGCAACGCGGATGTTATTGGTAAGAATATTGTTTATAAGTTTGACAAATTATAGTTTGTTTTTGTCAATTTATTATCATTTCATATTATTGCCTGTTTTCGTTTTATCATGGTCCCTTGATCTAACATGTTTGCTTATTACGCTGTAATTTTATTTGAAGTATCGCGAAATTTTCTTTTTTCGTGTCTTTGCTTTTCATCCGCATTTGATACTAATAGTAATTACTAGACATTAAATATAATAGTGAAAAATGTTCAGGGAAAAACACTTTGTTTTAAGGTAACAAAGCACAATAAACAGGTTTTTGCCACCTATTTCCAAGTAGTGTGAAACTTATATTAAATCATGTTAATGATCATCCACTCAAGAAATATGAAGCGCTTGAGAATATTTCGTTATTTATTGCTAATAAACCTAAGATAATCACTATACTAATTATTTTAATGGCATGAGGTTAGCTGCACTTGATTATGAAGAATCATTTTATTTATACTCGGCTAAATGGCAATAACTCAATAACAATCATAAATTATTTATCTATCATTATAATTATAAAACTGTTTTAAGTAATCTAAATGATATTGAGATTACAAAATTTTGATTAGCAATGTAAGAATGTAAAGTTATATTATTATATTTTGATCCATACTATCAATCTTTTTTGGACACATGATCATATCTTATGCTACAAGTCACATATACTATATTGTATGATCAAACAATGTATAATAAAAAGACATGAACTTGCTATTGTTCCATAGTTATAATATTAGAGATCTGATCCTTTGCAACAGAGAACACAAGTGCATCATAAGCTACCAGTTTAGACCTTTCCTCTATTTAGGATATAAGAACTACCAAACAATAAACATTAAACAATAATCTAAATAACAATCTGATATAACAAAGTTTATTGATTATAAAACATCTTGAAAAATAAACACAATTGCTTCATAGCCCATTGTGTGAAAATGATTATAAACAAATGATTGTAATAATATCTATTCAAAAAGTCTCAACTGAAACCAGTTGGCTGGCTATAGTACATTACTTTAAATGCTTTGCATGTGACAGGACTGTCAACCTTCATGTTTTGACTTTAAGCACAGTCAATGCACTTGATAAATATGCTGAGAACATTATACCTAAAAAGAAAATGTTTTGTTTATTACACATGTTTAGCAAACTTCTTTTTATGGAATTATCCCTAAGGTAATCTTTAGAAGTAAAACAATTACAGGAAAACTGTAAATTATTCAATTCATTTCTATTTTTAATACCAGGTTTTGCATTGATTTATAATGTTTTTAATCAATTTTATACATTGTTAACTCATTTTAGATTTAGTTTTCACACATTGATGAAATCAATATATAGATATCCATCGCTTTTTCATTTATATAATCTCATTCTTTTATTTTATTAATTGTATGTTATTTAAAAGTATGTTATCAAAGATTTTATTCCTGTTTTATCGCTTTTATCATCTTTAATTATTAATGGTCCTAAACTTGATTTGCCAACACATTTGTGGTTTACTTGTTATCTTCATCTCATTTGAATCTTATCAGCACTTTATGTTGACAACAATATAAATATATTTATTTGATTATCATATAAACAAAAGAACATGACATGACTTATTCATTGAAATAACAGTTAAAAAAACAACTAATAGCCAGTAAGGTGTTTGAACTTGTTAATTTTATACATATTAAAAAAATCCTTAGTAAGGAATTTAATTGAAACATTAAACCTCTTTCTTAGGTGTGGCAGATGGTGTAGGAGGATGGCGTGCTTACGGGATCGACCCCGGAGAGTTCTCCTCGTACTTGATGCGGACATGCGAGAGGCTCGTCCAAATGGGACACTTCAAGATGACAGAACCAGGAGATCTGCTGGCGAAGTCCTATTATGAATTGTTGGAACATAAGAAACCAATATTAGGTAGGTCTAATCTTCATTCCTTTGAATTGACTATACCTGGAAATAATTCAGAAATATTTCATTCAATTATCGTAATATATTTTCAATCTAATGATGTTGTGATAAAGTTGAAAATCCATTACTGTATCTGACTGTGTCTGAAATCTTATCTGAAAATTTGAAAAATAAGGTTTCTATTTGAATAACAAAGTGTTAAAAACCAACATCACAAACAGTTTGTTTAAAAAATTTGTCTCTTTTGAACATGCATATAGCTGAGAATATATTCACCTTGACCAATTTAGATACAGATAGACTGTGTTAAATTTAATGATTAAGATATATTCATGGCTGCATTTTTTGTTTATGTCACACTCAATTGAACAATACAAAGTCCTCTTTTATTTTCCTCTGCAAAACATGTGATCTCTTGCACCAGTCAACTAAATAAATTATTGATAACTCTATGGTTGGTATAGACATTATTAATATTTTCTTTGTAATGCGATATGACTTCCTGTGTCGTACTGTTTGCATGTTCATTTAAAAACTTTAGGTTATAAATTATAATAAATTTTCTACTCTTATTCTATGACAAGGTTCCTATTATATTATAGAACAATATATAGTACTTACTAGCTTCTGCCCACGACCGTACGCGCAATCCCGTTTTCTCCCGTTCCGGTAGGTTTTTTCAGGACTTTTTTTAAGTCAGAGGAACCTTCTCTTAATAATTACAAATACAACAAAAATAGAATTAGTGAAATCGGTCTAGCCATTCACGCGTGAGGCCGTGACCAAGGGAAAAAGAGATTAATTTTTATATATGTTTGTAGATTGGAATAATTATGATTTATTTTGACGATAGCTAATAAAAATATTTTGTGACTTGGATAAATAGTCATAGACTTCGCCTTATAACGATATTGAAATTCTCAGTAGGAAACAAACAAATTACATATTGAATTAATTCTCTAATGTCCTTGCGGGTTTTAACGACCATGACAGAAGTATTTAAATTATAGTGAAACAAAAAACATTATAACTAATCATAATATGCCTACATTTATAGAAATGTAGGAACATTAGGCGAAGAAAATCTGATTTTGATTTTTGTTACTTCAAACCCCATGAAATGGAAGGTATACCATCGGCATACACTGGACACAGTTTTAAATTGCGTGTTAATAGACTTTCAAAAACTTAAGATTACTCATATTTTCTCAGTTACTCAGATTTTCGAACTTGACTCTTCTAGAAATCAAATTCGAAATCCCCTGGGTTATTCGCGTTTGCAATTGATCCTCTAGAGGTGCTTTAATGCGTGGGATAATAAATTATCGTATTGTCTGTTACAGGAAGCAGCACAGCATGTGTAATGATCCTAGATCGGTCAGAGAGCGTGATGCGGGCAGCAAATATCGGCGACAGCGGTTACATGGTTGTCCGCGGAGGTCGCGTGGTGCATCGCTCACATGAACAGCAACACTACTTCAACACGCCCTACCAACTCAGCCTACCGCCGCCCGGACACGACCGGAATGTGCTAAGCGACAGGTAAATAACTAAATACAACAACAAATATATTTCTACATAGCTACTCGTATTTGCGTTTTGAGAAATCATCCTCATAATAGATAAGTTGACACCAATAGCTGATGATAAATCTGTCTTTGGTGTCTCTAAGATACAATGTCTGTAATGCAATGAGATACTGTTTATTTGTGTAGGTTTGTGAAAAAAGGATGATATCTTATCATTAGTTTGTAAAATGAACAACTATGATACTTAAATCTGCCATATTTATACAGGTAAAAAACACAGTAGGTCATTCAAAATCAAGATTATTTTAAAATGACATTGACTACTGACTGTCGTGGGATTGTTATTTGTGTATTTATCTCGCGTCTACACTTCTATGATAAAAGAAGTATAGTGCGTCATAATTTCTTGGTGATAAAATCTGAATTAATGCGAAAGGTTACTTCAATACTGATAGTAGTATAAATACAACTGAAGACTCAATCTGTACTATGGGTAATACGATTATGATTCAAAACATCTACATTTTGACTTAACATTAAACTGATTTAACCATAGGAATGTCTAGCATTCCACAATAGTAAACTAAAACCACTAAAGTCGTGCACTGCGTACTGTTGACAGTTTCAAAATTTTCAATTTGGTCAGGTGCCAAAACTTTTACAAAGTATAATGCGCTATGCGTTATGTCGTTATATTTTGAAAAGTACTGTAGTTTTATACATACGGTTGTATACTTCCGCCCACTATTACTACAATTTACGCGGACCATTTTGACAGTCTGAATGGCCCAAATAACCGCACTGAAGCAGTGTAAACTAGAGACCAGCTAACTGCCTCCATGCGGTTTTAATAATATGGCTGGCTACATGAGGCAGTCTGCTTGTATTTTCTGCTCCATAACTTAATATAATCCGTATTAAAACGGAACAAAAGGTGTTTATCTCTTAAACAAATTAGTTCGACTATAACTAATTCCATATGGCTTGCAGACAATGTTTTGTAATGCAAAAATATGCAATTAAGAACGAGTCCTTACAGGTACATCGATCAGCAGTCAATTATACGATTGTCCTTTAAATCGTTACTATTTTTAGCATCTTAATGAAACTGCATCGTTGCGGTACAATTAACCAATTAAACTTTATTTACTAACATTGGCTATGCTAGATAAATTTTATTCAGACTCATTATAAATGCAATGCATATAAAATTATCAGACAAAGTTAAAAAGTGCACATTATTGAACTATTAGGACCTTGTACAATCGCATTTGCGGGTCAAAGGTCTGTAATATGACATGACATCGCGTTAAAATTCTTCTTAATTAGTTGACTAAAATGAGGTTTTCCTTATCTCGTTTCGAGCAGTGAGGAAACGTGAAACACTAACACGTTATTTTATCCACTTGTATCTAGATTTGGTCACTACAGTCATAAGACTCATTATTCTCCAACCACGAGACTAGTAGTCATGTGCTCATTCCACATACAGCTGTTATATTTCTGTATGCACTAATATTAGAATTTTTAGCTCATTGGACATTTGCCAGGTCTTTAAACTTGCGCGTTCTCTTGAAATTTATGGAATTGTGTTTACTTGTTTGTTATTGGCACGGCTTACGAAAAGAATTTCATTTATTCTTTAAATCCTCTGTTCTGAGCAATAATCACGAATTAAGCGAGGTAATTTTAAATGACTACGCAATGTATTCATTCTTTTACATATGAGGTCGTTGACACTTAATTACATCATTGACATAAAATAAATGAGATATTGTTGTCATAACTTGTTCACCTTAAATGTGTAGATACAACCGTGTGTAATGTATGTACTCAGGCATCCTAGAATTGAGCGGTTACGTCTTGGCGCCCTAATTACGTCCCGCTATTATGTAGATAAGTGGACGAGAATAAAGTCCAATATTTTTTTACTCTCATGAAGTGGTCTGTCGCTCTTCACATGTATTGCGTCATTTCAGAAACATTATGTTGTTATTTAAATGAGAACTGAGTGGCTTACATTATCTGTGCTTATGTACAATCTTCATATGTAAAGTGGTCGTGAGCATGATTGTTCAGCTAGTATTCCTGTCTAGTCGAGTATGTAATCTATGTGAAAACATTTTCACAAAAAAAAAAA